ATCGTGCATTTTGGTGCAAATGATGCAACAGCGGCACGACTTAGGTATTTTGGAAATAACTGACGATGATTGGAAATCTAATTTACAATGGTTTTTGTATAAATTTCAAATATTCAGAAATGACTAATTAAAGGCGCCTTAAACTGTGACTCCTATGAAGATATTCAAGAGAATGGAAAATACAAACAAAAAAACATTTTGAGTATTCAAACAAATGAAGCGAAAAACAAAATCCATTTCATTTGTTTTACTGGCAGACGATCAACAATAATATCTTATCATCTTTGTTCAAATAACCGCAATGGAATGAGACTGGAATTGTAATTCATCTTTCCAAATATCGCAAAATTGTATTATCCAAATCGGTGTACGTTTGACTAAATGACGGTAGAGGCATACATGGGCACGGTCAGAAATTAAGAAGGTTACTTAAATGAAACAATGCCAGCAAATCGAAAGAATTTTCTGAAAGAATCCATTCTAGATCCCGTGTCTAAAGAATTTTTATTGAAAAATCCCAGTAATCCAAAGAATTCCGACTCAGAGACAAAAGTTTAAGACCGAAAAAAGGTCATCAGTTTCTTGCAGAAATCCCTAGCAAAACCACGAAAATTGTGAGCTTCTACGCGAGGGGAGTAACTCGGACGATTTAAGATGGTTTTCTGGACGTACATCCTCCTTCTGTGTCCGTACACTCTACGGCCTTCTTTTAAGAATAATAATTTGAAAGGCACACAAAGAGTCTAAAGTGAATTAAAAATATATTTGTAAAAGATACCAACTGAACAAACACAGACTGTCTGCCACACGGTGCACATTTAAATCATATATTTACACATTGAATAACTTCACTTGGACGACTTTGCATTCAATTAAATTGTCTCAAGGAAGTCGGACACAAATTTAAAAAAAATCAAAAAATGAGATTCGAAATGTTGGCACTGTTCTTTACTGTTGTTGTTTGGGGAGCGGCGCAAATGGGCAATTTAGGTCCAGGGGGAATGATTAATATGAGAGACCCCGATTTTTTTTCAATCTTTTGGAACGGCACTAGATAAAGCAGACAATAGTGAATAAATTTATAATAAATATTCAACCGAAGCCACGAAGAGATGCGAAAGAAAGAAGAAGACGTCCATGGTGTAGAACATTTTTGGTGTAAATTTGAAGATTTTTAAAAATAAAGAATCAAATTCAGAAAGTTATTTAATTAAAAAGTTGGTTTATTCTTTAGTCTTATAAGTAAAAATACTTCTGTTTGTAAAAAATCGTGTTCATCTTCGGAGAATCTTCGTTTTAAAGAATTTATTCAAAAAAAACATTTTGAACATAATTTTTAGTTGACTTATGAATTTACATTAATGAAAAGAGTTGAAGGTTGATACAAAAAAATTGTAAATAATTTCAAATTAATTCTGAATATATCCAATGGAATCCAACTGAGCCTTGCGCTGACCAAAAAGAGCATTTTTCTCCATACAAACAAGATTTCTCTCATCGATTATCGTTAGCCATCTGTCCCCGGCACGCCGTGCCAATTCCTCGAAATCACAACGTTTTTCAAGCGTAAAGTAAAGTTTTTCCAGCAACCTAAACTCGTTCAAAACATAAATAGCTTCTTCTATCGCAAATGCCTTGTAACCAATATGAATTTCTCGCAACGATGGTAAGGCGTTTGCCATCTTCGCTGCAATTCTTTCATTAATCCCAATACGAAAAACCGAATCGTTTGATTTGACAATCAATTTCGTGATGAATTTATGTTTGCTGATCAAATGGATGTTTTCTTCATTCCACCAGCAATTTGTCTCCAACGTAAACTCTTCGAGTAAATCAAATGAGAAAATGATTTTCGGAATGATTGCCGGCCCGTTGGAACAAAGTGTAAAATGGTGTATACTATTAAAATGAATCACATTATCATCAAAACGTTGCCACTCACTGAATGTACAACCAATTTCGAGACTTTTAACTGATTTCAAATGGGTGCTGATATTTTGCATGAATTCCGTATTCCAACCGACATAAATCTTTAAACATTTCAGCTGTGCATTCGATTGAATGATTGCGTTGATATTTTCCATTTGACATTTATTCAATGAAACCGGAATGTTTATCTCCAATTGGTCCAAATTCGGAATATGCAATTTTGATCCACCAACATCGGTCCATTGTAATTTCAGTGCGCGTACCTTTGGAAACAATCGATTGAAATTGGTCAGCGTTTTTTGTACGCAACAATACTTGAATTGAATCATTTCAACGCTTGAAAATTCATCGTTGATGTGCATCAATACACTTTCGGAGAATCGCTCAAATGTTATTCTTTTTACGGATTTTCGACTGTATTTTTTCACATAGTCAAGTAATCGTATAACATGAGTCACTTCACGAGCATTTGGTATGAATTTATCACCGGTTATGTGTAGATTTACAATTTGTTCGCCAAAACACCGAAGAGTCTGTAGGCAGGTTTTTGAATCACTGATTTTGACAACGTTATGATGTACGATGATCGGAATGGTAGAATGTTGATCAAAATCAAGCCAAATTTTTTGTTTTCCATACTTTCGCGTGAACACCAATTCGGCGGCACCTTTAAAAGACGGGCTCGTGTCGGCCACATGCAAAAGATCGCCGAAGGTCAAGTGATTAAAAATACTCTCTAAACAGTCAATGTTAACTACGGTGAAAACTGACATGGTGAACACGTTGATTTACACAAAATTAAATTGAAAACAAAATAAACGATGACTTTGTTGTGTCAACGATCGAAGATACTGAATAAATATTTTGAATTCTTTTGCTCTTTATACATTTAAAATGTTGGGATTATCTTGTCGAAAAATGAATATTATTCAAAATGGTTATCGGAGGAGACAATCGATTCATTCGTGAACATCAACTGCGTTCTGTAGGTGGGCAAAACAAACCTTCTAATCGGAGTGCCATTAGATAACATGGCAATGACTTTTGACCTTTGATGTGTAAAAGTAAACTGGTTGATAACGATACAAACCTTTGTCAACTCACTGTCTAGATGTTTGGTGACGACAGCATTTGATAGCACATTCACATCTAAATTTATGCATTTGAGTTTATGGAACATCAAGTTTTGGTTTTGCAAACATTCATTTGGTCTTTATCTTTGTTTTGGTGATGAATGAGCAAATACGTTTTTTCAAAAGATTTGATTGCTTCAGTTGGATTTATTTATTTTGGATCAAATTTTCAAAAAAATTTATTTTTCCCTTTTCTTTCGACCCTTACAAGTTGTATTTGCAATGAGCTCATACTAAAAGCTACTAGATTCAGCTGAAAAGATGCTTAATTGCTAATACAGTATCATTTTCAAATCTACAGGGTGCGCCATAATAACTGTCCCTTTTTTTCAATCGTTTGTTTTAATACTCAAATGTCTTGCGATTCACTCTGTCGTTTACCGTTATGTTTATTGGTGTTTACTCTAACTCTAATGATACTGCGCATTTATGTACAGTGTCTGTATAGCTTGCGATAAGAATGGATGTGAAACGTCAACTGGTACTAAATTTGCACAAACGGGGCTTGAGACAAATTGATATTTTTCGACAGCTACAAAATGAAAATATCAACTTGAAATTTGTAAAGCGCACAATAAAACGATACAAAGAACGTGGCAGCGTTGATATATTGAAGAAAACTGGACGAAAAAGATCTGTTCGTACCAAAAATCTCATCAAACGAGTGAGAGAGAAAATTCGCCGAGAACCTCGAAGAAGTGGACGAAAGTTGGCTCATGAGCACAAAATCAGTGAAACTTCAATGCGACGAGTTTTGGCAGAAGACCTGAATATGAATCCATTCAAAAAATGTCGACGACATGGTCTCACAATCAAAAATAAACAAGCCAGAAAGCAAAGATGCAAAGAGTTGTTGCGCCGGCACGCAAACTCAAACATTGTTTTTTCAGATGAAAAATTGTTCCTTTTACAGCCAAGCCTCAATTCGCAAAATGATCGTGTGTACGCAACATCAATCCTTGATATTCCCGAAGATAAAAAAACCATCGAACGATTTCAAAATGTTCCACAATTGATGGTTTGGGCCGCCATGTCGGCCGACCACAAATTTCCACTGGTTTTCGTCGAAGAAGGCGTAAAAATCAATGCCAGAGTATATATTCGAGAAATATTGCGTAAAAACTTATTGCCACAGTCTCAAAGACTATTCAGAGGTGAACCATGGGTATTTCAACAAGATGGTGCACCCGCACATCGTGCAAATACGACACAACAATGGCTACGCACGAATTTGCCTGATTTCATTGACAGAGACTCATGGCCGCCATCGTCTCCTGACTTGAACCCGCTCGATTTTTTTGCTTGGGGATACATGTCGTCGAAGCTCAATGATCTGAAAATTACGAAACGAACCACTTTGGATGCATTCAAAAAGAAAATAATAAAAATTTGGAACGAAATTCCCATTGATATGGTGCGTGCCGCGTGTCAATCGTTTTCGAAACGTTTGCGTTTGGTAATCCGAGAAAAGGGGGGAAGAATTAAAGTCAAAGGCTGAATCATAATCTCTATACCTCATTCTTATATCGAATAAAATTATATCTCGATTTGATTCAAATTTCTGTGTTTTTTGGCTAGAAATAAAAGGGACAGTTATTATGGCGCACCCTGTAATGTTAAAAATATTCAGCTACCTCTAACACCACATCGACTGTTCTAGTCATCGAATAGCAAATGCCCGTTTGTCAAAATTTTGATACTTTGAGTTCAATTTAAACTGATGAAAATCATCAGCATTGTATTTAAACTGACAGCGATGGCATTCAAAGAAATGGTATTAACACTGACCTACAAACAATCGTTTATTTTCTTATTATTCTGTAAAATACACACCAAATAGTCCAGTTAATAGCCTTAATAAATCCATCTAGTATATTCTTTTGCGGAAGAGATAAAAGGGATAAAATGCCATAAAATCAAGTTTATACAATGTCATTACTCCATTTATTGGAATTAATTGATCGATAATAAATAATCAAGAAAAATTTGGATATAAAAAGGTTAATTGTTACATTATTTGTTTTAGAACAGCGGAGTAATGTACGCTGACTTGAAGAAAATCCATCGAGTTCATCCGTTATTGCTTCGAACGATGTACGTTTTTCATGTGACGATTAGCAACATTTTTCCATGCAAAGCGCATTTCACAAAATTCACATGAAAATGGTTTTTCGCCGATGTGATGAATGCACATGTGGCCTTCCAATTGCGTAACGTGATGCATTGAAACTTTGCACACATAACATTGATAGTGGCGACGGTTGCAGCCTATCTCATGTGCCTTCTTATCAATTTCTTCTTTGAATGAACGATGACATTTGGCGCAACGGAACGGACGCTGTTTGGCATGTGTTGCCAAATGTTTCTTCAGTTCAATCTTTTGGAAAAACTTCTTTTCACAAATACCGCATTTAAATGGTTTTTCGCCAGTGTGATGGACTTGCATGTGCAGTTTCAAATGACCTTTATTGAAACTTTTGTATATCTTGCAGATATGACATTCGAATCGGCGACGTTTACATTTATTTTCATGCACTTGTTTTTTGTCTTCAGCAGCGAATCGTTGACCACATTTTGAACAGTCGAATGGAAGTTGTTGGCGGTGAGTGCGTGAATGCCTCTTCAAATTGAGTTTATTAACAAATGCCTTCGAACATACACGGCATGCGAATGGTTTCTCACCACTGTGGATTCGCATGTGGACTTTTAAACGGATCAACACCAGATTGGTAAATTTGCACAAGTAGCACTTGTACTGACGACCATTGCATTTGGTTTCATGACTGATTTTATCAACTTCCTCGACAAATCTACGACGACACTGCGAGCAACGAAATGAAAATTCAGGAACATGGACTATTTTATGACGAATGAAAGAGAACTTTTGTGAAAAAGCCTTCCCACAAACTTCGCATTCGAATGGTTTTTCGCCTGTGTGAGTTCGAATATGTTTTTTGAGATTCGATGTATATGGTGTGATATAATTGCAAAAAGTACAACGATGCAACTTCTTAATCTTTCTCGTTGACTTTTTCGGAGCTTTGCTCTTGTTGTTTTTCTGTCCTTTCGCACGACGTTTGGGTTGTTCATTGTTACGATTATCGTTTGGATTGGATGTTGGATTTTCCACGTCATCATCGCCTTGATCATCATTGGCACCCTTACTTGAACCTGCTTCCTTCGTGGTGTCACCTTCTTTCTTCACAAAATCCCCTTTACAATCCATTTCCTCCTTCACGTAATTGCGCAAATACTCGCTATCGCTTTCGCTCTCCGATTTGACATCGACACTGGCTTCGACCGATGATGGTGTTGTCGGGCGTACAATCAGAGGTGCATTATCGTCCGGCTCTTGCTTGATGCTCTCCTCTTTGATTTCGATATGCCAAAACTTTGCCTTGCACTTATATTTGCTATTGGACTTGCCTTTCGTACTTTTGCTTGCAAATGGTTTCATCTTGGTAGCTAAAATAGAAAAGAAAAACACAACTGTCAATTCATAGCAATCGAATGTATGTATTCAATTTATGAAGCAAACAAAAAGAGCCGAATATTTAAATGCCATCTCGAAATTTAGGCAATACATATAATTGTTTTCAATTGAAATGCAGCCAAGTACTGAAACAATTGGCTGAAGGTTATGTTGAGGTTATGAAATTGTTGTTGGTTTTGTTGTTTTCTTTGATATTTGATGGACTTTGCGGATAAAGAAGTTTTGTCGTTTTTTAAAAAACAAATTTAAAGTTATGAAATTGTACCATGCACATTGCACAACATAATATCATTCAGTTCACTCTCATTTGATTCGATTGAATTTTTTTCGAAATCAAGAATTTGATGTTCTTTTCATGCAATAAATAAATTGAAAATGTTTCCAATCAACTTACTCTTTCAATTTGGTTTGCACACAATGACAATTTATTCGTTGTCTTTTAATTTGTTTCTTCTTCTGCTTGCCGTCGTTATACTTGTTACCGTCTTCGTCTGCTGTACACGATGAAAGAGAGCGATTCACCGTTTCTGTTGTAAACGTCAAGCAAACCATTGATTGACACACGGCAGATGTCATTTGTATGCTGCGAAGATGGCTACCGTTGAATTTATTTACATTCTGTGGGATAAACAAAATGTTTTTTTTTCTTAGTTTCCACACACCAAAAAACTATTTGGTCGAAATGAGTGAAGATTTTTTTTAATTTGTTAATGCATAATATTTCCAGACTAAATGTATTGCCAAAGAGAAGGCTTTCGTCATTTTTACGGTAAGTTGTCTCCTTTTCACATACAATTTCATATTTGTATTTGACACCTCTGTCTCACTCTATCAAATATCAACAAGTGTCGGCCACATACACCAATGCATTTCATGCTGTTATTGTTGCTGACTGCAACACACACTCATTCTCTTCGATGGTGAGTTACTAGAATCGAACACACACATAAGTTGTATTTGTGCAATTCACATCAGCGAACCAAAGTCATGCATGAATTCGCACTTTTTTGGGATACAGTAGAGTGCTTGACTGAGGAATTTGCACAACATTTAATTCTATTAATACAGCAGGACTATTGAGATTTATTTTGCATATGCAATTCAATTGACTGGATTTTTCGGTGTTAAGAAAAGAGAACGTAAGTTGTTGCTTCACTGTTTCAATAATTCCCAAGGAGAAAATCATTTTTATATTGATCCATAACATCAATTAGAAAGATTATTAGAACTTCCAAGAATTTCTTTGGATGAGGAGTAAAACATTTCAGAGCATGAAATAACAAACATCAATTGTGGTTCTTGTTCACAGTCACTCATCGAGTTAGCCTCGCAGTACGACAAGCAGTGCGATGACTGATTGGCAAGAAGAGCTGGACAAATATTTGTCGATTGTCGAGCGGCATACAACCGATTCACTGTTGCGCATCCAAAATGCCTTCAAACACACAAACCGAACATTAGAGGAAAAAGCCACGTTCCGAAACCATTTTTTGAACAGCACCCGCAATCGGTGAGTGTACACACTTTTTTCAAAATAAATATTCTGGGTGGATTGCCGGAAAATTGTGAGAAATTGAGATTTCTCTTTACTCTCTCGTTCCTCTTTGTCGTACTGTAATTTAATGATCTAATTTCCATCGTTTGTCAGTGTTAGTGAAGCATGTGATCGCTACGAATTGACCCGCAATGTTCAACATCGTCCAAGAAGTCCGAACAATCGATCAACATCAATTGGTCATGATCGCGACCAATCATTCACGTCTGACCAGCGCTCATGCTCCAGCCTGTCATCGAACAATGACCAATTCGAGCTGGAACAACAAAACAAGCTCGCCCACGATATAACAATTTGCGGCGTACCACTTTCAACCAAACATGAAAAATTGCGTAAAATGTTTGCACAATTGTGTAAAAAGGTGGGCGTAAATATTCAATCCGATGAAATCACCAAGATTTTTCGAAGCAATCCGAAAACGGTGATTGTGGTGCAGTTCAGAAGCGAACGCAACAAAGAATTCTTTATGAAAATGTGTCGCAAAAAAAGTTTGTGGACCAACGACATGATGCATGACGAAGAACCGAGACGCATTTACATCGACTATCAGATGACCACCTTCTATCGAAATATGTGCAAAATTGCACGACACGCAAGACAACAGAATTTGATTCATTCCCACGACATTTCGAAACAAGGCTTAATGATCAAACTTACGCCACGCAGTTCTGAACTTACATTTTTATCACCGAAACAACTCCATGGCTATTTGAATAAGTTGCGCCAAGCAAAGCGCCGTCGACAGGCCATGTCATCGGATACAGAATAGGTATGGCTTGCAATGACTCTGCCATTAAAAGCGAAAATGGATTTTGAATTTTTAATTGTATTTGATTCCATTCCCAACTTAAAACATCAACTGACAGAGATTTTCCTTAACATATCCACACAAAATTAGTAAAACAGACAATTGGAAACAAACAAATTTGAGAGTAGTAATAAAATCTAAGCCTGACGTCAAGTTGAAGAGTTTTATTTCTCCTTTGTGATCACTGAAACAGTGATCAGCATTTATTTATCTGCCTTTTCATCAATATTTGTTCAGTAGTCACGATAAATGAACAAATGTTTGCATTAGGTTTGTATGTATTGTGTGTATATTTGTACCACAGCTCACAAAACTTACTCGTGTCGCTCTCATTCCAAACTATATGAGCTCTTTCTCACACTTGTGCAATTGTGCATTATCGTTCATGAACGGGACAAAAAATTGCGTCAATGTGTGTGGATCTAATTCCATCAGCCAATAAGAGCGCTGCTCTGACTAACTAAGACAGTGTGTTAGAATAAATCGATTTAGTTGTTTACTCATAGACACAAAGATGAGAACAACAGAGAAACATTTTGACACTCGGCGTTCCAGTCTAACCGTACCGAAATTATGCCCAAACTGTCACACTGCTAGCGCCACGACGGAATTCAATGTAATCTACACTAAGTTGCCGCCAAATAGTGAAAAGACTTTTGCTCAGTTGCAGCCAACGGACTAGAACTCCATGGTTGTCCGTAGTGGCGCTAGCAGTGCTACAGTTTTGCATTTTATACAGTCTCTTATGGAGCATAATTTCTGTGTGAGTCTAACGCAAACTCTGGCCAAATAACCAAAGTGCTATTTTGTTCTGAGTGCCACAGCTAATGACACCAAGTCTTGTTTGGTGGACGTGTGTACTGCCTCTGCCTTCATTCTCTGTCTGATTGCACTACTTAATGTAACATATATAATAAAAATGTTCCTTTGTCCGTCTATTTGTGGATACAAATAAAATAGAATCCAATTGGCATAGTGAATTTAGTGAATATCTTCAAACTCTGAAAATAACATTTATTTAGAAGTTTAGCTGTGATGTTTGTCGCCATTCAAATAAAACTAATAAATTGAATAAATCTCAAGAGGATTTTAGTATTGTATTTTTATTATGAAATCTGTTTATTGATTACATGTTTCATCCGAACATAGTATCTCATTGAAAGTGAATATTTTCTTTGGATTGAATTCAAAATAATATTTCCGAACGATGTACGTTTTTCATGTGCTGATTGGCGTTTTCTTTCAGTGTAAAACGTACACCACACAATTTGCATGAAAATGGTTTTTCGCCGGTGTGATGAGTGCACATGTAGCCTTTCAATTGCGTTCCGAATCGCACTGATACTTTGCACACATAACATTGATAGTGGCGACGGTTGCAGCCTATCTCATGTGCCTTCTTAACTATTTCATCTTTGAATGAACGATGACATTTGGCGCAACGGAACGGACGCTGTTTGGCATGTGCCGCCAAATGTTTCTTCAGATCACACTTGGAAATAAACTTCTTTTCACAAACACCGCATTTAAATGGTTTTTCGCCGGTGTGATGGACTTGCATGTGCAGTTTCAAATGACCTTTATTGAAACGTTTGTATATCTGACAGATATGACATTCGAATCGGCGACGCTTGCATTTATTTTCATGCACTTGTTTTTTGTCTTCAGCAGCGAATCGTTGACCACATTTTGAACAGCCGAATGGAAGTTGTTGGCGGTGAGTGCATGAATGGGACATCACTTGATTTAGCCTAACAAATGCCTATCGGACCTGGAAGCAAGCACAAAAACGAATGCTTGCTCGAGTATGTCTGTATTTAGTTTGCTGCTGCTGCTCGCATTGCTCCAAAAAAAGCAGCAATTATGTAACTTGTTTACTTGACAAAAAATGCTAGCTTTGACAAAAAATGTTGTGTGTTTTCTGTTTATTATTATTTTAATTTTTCATCTTCTCATAAAATCGCTTTATATTTTATTAGATTTATCTTACTACATGAGCTTACAATGTAATTGAGTGTGGACTACAGATAACAAAGAAATATGAATTTTCTTAAAAATTGAACAAGTCATAGTTATCATGTATAAATAAAGTTTTTTCAGCACGCATTGGTTCGATTGATGCCCGTCTTCTTTGTATTAAGCAACCAGCAATTGAAAAAGCACTTTCCGATTTGGCTGTTGTTGCTGGTATTCCCAGAATTACTTTGGCAACCGCAGACATTTTTGGAAATGATGACTCATTTTGACGCCAAAAACTCAAAACACATGCTGGTATTTCTTTCTTCTGAGCAAATAGTTCCAGTTCCTGTTCTAAATTACTACTTCCGTGAATCATATTTATGTGTTTTGCAAGTAATTTCTCCCTTAATGATTTGGGTTGGACTGTGGTGTCTCTGTCATCCAAAATTGGCGCCTCCGATATAGTCTCATGGATATTTATCTTCATTGATTGCGCAACTGTTTCGATGACTTCAACCTTTGAATATCCTTTATGAAGAAAATTAAAGAAAGAAACAATAATTAGCAAATGCCATGTCGCAGTATCAAAAGTGTGAATCAAACTTTGATATAAAAGAAACAAACCTTCTAAATTTAACCATTCATTAATGATTTTTAAATGCTGTGTTGAAGGGTCCAAAAGCGCACTGGCAATTGCTTCCATCGGTAAAGGCATTCTTCTATTCAAATTTGTCAAAAGAATATCGGCTGCCTTTTCAATTAAATCATCAGTCGTCATCAAATGAATGGTTTCCAAACGATCTTTAATTTCGGAATAAAATAGCACAAGGGAGTTGAGAGTGGGAAAATCATTTCCTTGGATGTACGTTGTGAAAACGTTGAAAACGTCCAATAATTCAACCACCCCGCCAAGTAATATGGAATCTTGTTTTGTTAGAATCAAATCATATTCCTCTAGTTCTTCAAGGCACTTTTTTATGGACCCTTAAATGAAATAATTTGATAAAATAAATTTCAAACCATGCTACTTGTGAAAAAATTAAAAAAAAAAGTTAATAAGCCTATCGGCCATCATTTACCTATGTGGTTCAAATGAACTTGTGCGAGTTTAAATACACAATTCCATCGGACTGTGCTGATGGATTTTAATCCTGTAAAATCCCCACCGCGGTTAAATTCTTCAAAATTGACATCAGAGAACTGTGACTCAGCATCAAATATATCATCCGTTTGTGAACATTCCTCTAACAAGATCATCATTAAATGTTTATGCTTATCATCTTCGTAAATTGTTTTCAATTGAGTGTGTTTGTAAATCAAAGTTCTTTGAATTTTCCTTAATTTTGAAATTAAACTAGTCAATTCTTTCATATCTTTTGATTTCATTAAATCTTTTTGTATTAGGTTATTGATTGAGTGAGCAACACATGCGAAACGTTTTAAATTGAGTAATTCGGTACTTTTCTTAACATTGGCACCACCATCGGTAACACACACTACATTTTTTTTTTCGATACCATATTCAGCCATGGTGTTAATGTAATCATCACGAATACGCTCAGCAGTATGGGGTCGATCAAATCGGCCAGTTCTCAAGATTCTGCTTTTCATATTCCATCCAGAGTCCATATAGTGATATGTATATGTTACATATGATAATCTTTTATGATTGTCCGTCCACATATCAAATGTAATAGTACAGTATTCTAAAATCATTTGAATATTTGATTATTTCGCTTATAATTCATAATTAAAAATAAAATGTCTTACATCCGTAAGATGAACTTTTCCGCACTG